TAACAATGATTTTTTGTTCTGTTTATTTTAAGCTATATCTTAACCTTTTAACCCTTTCAAATGAAGTCTTGTTTTTTCCTTAACCGGGATTTATTTGTAAGTGGAGATGGAGTCTTAAAAAAAGTATCTCAATTTTTTTTTATAAAATAAAAAATATAAAGTAATAAAATCAGAAAAATAAATCTTAACCTCCAGAACGTTTCATAAAATGATTACGGAAACAAACAGTCGCTCATAAGTTACGTAAAATGCCATAATATTTCCTTAAATTACTTCCAGTAACATTGTCACAGATTTAAATGGCCAAAGATATAAATTCACAATAATTACTTTGAATGCAAGGAATTAAAATATTTTCTGGGAAACGTAATTCTGATGAAATATTGCATGTAAAAATATTGCATGAAACAAAAGTAAATTTCTTAAATAAAAGGGGTTTCCAGATTTTATAATAGATTTGCCAAAGCTGGATTAATACAGTCAATGACTTTCTTAATGATTTAAGTAATACACTTCCATTTTCGGCGTCAAATCTAAATTAAAATCTTCTTATCTTTGGGAACGGAAATTCAGAGAAAAGTAGATTATAATTTTTTTGGGGGGGTCAGCTATTTAAATATAAATTTTTAAAATGAATGATGAAAATGAAATATGTGGTAGAATTTATTCGAACATAAGCCAAAATGAGTAAGTCATGGAATCAGTTCTATTTTTTAAAGGATGAAAATAAATTACTGTAAGAGAACAACTTATTTAAAAACCTTACATGATTTAAAGAACAATAAGACATCTGCTAGTTTATTGATAAAATTTAAGCGATATCTTAATAAGCTCAGTTTATTATCTTTGATATTTAGTATGTTAAAATTTATATATATAATAAATTTACTGTTAAGTACTAGTGTTTCATATTTTGCAAATATGTTAAATGGATTTTTTATAATTGTAAATTCTAGTCATTAATATTAGCTGTAGAGTTATTTTTTTCTAAGTCATAGAGCAGAACCTAAAAAGATTATGTTTTATTGCTCTTCTAATTATCAAACATCTCATTTTCTCTTATACTATTGAACTCCACGATGTTGTGTACTCTCTTTTTAATAACTCTCTGTTGCATTTTATTAATTTGTTTTATAATCCATTCCCATTAAAAAAGACTATAACTATTTCATTGACATTGGTAGTCAGTTTAAAGTTAGTAACAAAATTTTATAACTGTTAATAAATATAAAATGATATTTGAGAGGTGGAAGGAAGTTTACTTTCAAGAAAGAGAGTTCATGCAAGAATATTTTTCTTTTTCTCTTCATTAACTTTCTAACTGCGATTTTTTTCTCTTTCTCCGCATTTAAGTATTTCTTATTAATTTATTCAGTAATACGTACTTCTGTGTTAAACAGCAAGCAAGCTGTTACAATAGTTAAGCAGTAGTTAATACCTACCAAAATAACTATTGATAACTAATGCTGACATTTTAAGCTATTAATGATGAATGTAATATGTAAAATGACCTTTACATGTCTAGTATTGAATAAACTCCTTCACTTTATTTATTATTACCGTCTCATATATAAAAATTTGTGTAAATAGTTATAATGGTGAAAATACTCGAGTTTATTTATAGTTATTTTTCTCAAATCAGTATATTTCAGCTGAAAAACAGCCGAAAAAGAAATTCTACTTTCTATAGCTTATTCTATTTTTTTATTGTGCTTGAAATACGTTAACTTATTTATCTATATTTAAACATTTAATGGCTGATGTTGACACTCAGTAATGAACATTAATATTTTACATCTTTTATATTCTACTGGAAGCCAAAAAACAAAATATTTTTAATAATACATATATGAAAACGTTTGATTTTACACGAGTCGTCCAGAATCACTTAATTCTAATTAGAAATAGGCCCACCAGCGGCCGAGCGGTAAAGTCGCTAAACACTGGTAGTTCGGTCCGAGGTTCAAATCCCGCGAACGGGCTGGCTGCATGGGCGTTTTCGTGGTTTTTCCCATGTGTAACGTGCATACGAGCCAGTTTCCCTTAGAAAGTCCTCCACGAAGGCATCCCTCCCCTTAGGCAGTTAGCCCTAGTGTGCTTTGCCATAATTAAATACACATACTAATTAGAAATATTTTAAAATCAGAATGCGAGCTGGAAATTATCATGTTTGAAACATCGTAAAATCAATGGTTAAGGCCCACTTTCTTTTTTGCTATTCAGAAGAAGTCAGTGTCGGTATGGGTAGTTTACACTTAATTTTGAATCATAATTTAAGCTTTCGATGGATCTCACTATATGATATTATACTATATGCTCAGCGCCTGCGAGAAAGGGTGCCAGTTGTCAAATATAAGTTGTAACTATTTGCTGTAGAGAAACATGTAGAACAGAGTGCTTGTTCAGAGCGCAGAGAGTTCAGTCAGATTTTGAAATTTTTCGCAATAGCACAATGCTAGTCTGGCTTGTAAATATTAATAACCCAGCGCCTCCTATCACCTGTTTTGAGTCTTACCATAAGAAAAACGAAGGATTGATATTTTTATAGCAGCACGCCAATTATTCAACGATTAAGTTCAATACCTCAAGCATTCTTGACAGCTTTGTATGCTAACGATGAGTATCTGTAAGCTCATTCTTTGCTTCAGTTTAAGTACTGCTTAAATAAATTCAATGATATTTTAATTTATTTTAATACTGCTATTAAAGTGAAACACTTATTATTGCAATATATGGTTTAACTCAAATCTGGTTATCGGAGCTGACTGCCGTACCTGAGGACCTGGGTTTGTATCCCGGAGAAGACATAAATGTTTGTAAATGTATAGTGTGCGTGCGGCATGAGTCACTCTAAATATGAGACGAGCCGAAAGTCAAAGTGGGATAAGAGATCCTTGGACCCGTCTCCCCGTGGTGCTCTCCATCAAATCTGGGGATGAAACTGAGCAAAGTCGTATTGTCACCTATATGTTGCTCAAGGCTCTTGCCAACGACAGGCGCAATCTTGACCTCTTGCCACGATGCATTTCGTGGGCTTGCTCTGATATCAGACACCTGATGTGATGTAACCGTCGATCAGGTGGGATAAGCCACAACAAGAAAGCTTGAAGTAGGTTTGACTGCTGGCTGTATGATGATAGAATGATGCTAAGTTGGGTGCTTCAGTCGCATTTTCGACCTAGAAATTTTTCCATTCCGATGGTTTCATCAGTATTTAAACCCTGTCGTAAGTCTTTGCGTACATGCACTCCTAAGACCTTAACACTAAAATTCCTTTGAATTTTACCTTTTTTGAAAATTATTCAAATAAAATTCCTACCTATTATTAACACTAAAATTACTACAATAATCATATTTACTGTTTCAAGAGCAAATAGCTAAATTTAATCTCTGATCAGTGCTTAGTCAACTTTATTAATTTCATTTCATTACTCATTTACTGAGTTAGTCAGTAGCTTATTCATGTAAACGAGAAAATCCTTTTACCTAACAAAAATTCATCCTATTGTTAATAGTTGTGACTCTCCAAATTTTTCACAGATTTTTACATAAAATTTCTTGAATGGAATAACGAAACAAAATGCATCCCGCCTAAACGGCACGAAAAAAAAAACTAATTTAAAAACTTGCAATTAATGATTAAAAAAGTGCTGGATATTTTCAAAGTAATATTCATGAAAATGTATGCCATAACTAGTAAGAAAATTGTAAGTTATGTACACAGATTATAATTTCATAATAGGAGGATGAGTTCAGAGATCAGAATATGCAAGAAATAATCTTATGTATATTATTTGTTAATTATTAGTATACCCTCCATTAGTTGTTAATTAAAAATTAGTAGCTAGCCGAGTAATGCATAAAATTAATGAATATGCAGTACCTTAATTAATTGATTAATTATTAAAGAACTTAAATAGATACGCTTCAATGCTTGTTAAAGTTTTTGCCTTCAAATAAGAGTCTGAAAGAAATGCAAGAAAACACTAAATTTTCCAGTATCTTAATTAGTCGGTTAACTTATGCTCTTGAAGTTTAATTTTAATTAAAAGAAGATTTATTCGTATAAAACAGTACTGACAAGAAAAATTCTTTTTCATTTTTTACAATAGTGACTTTGTTTCAAACTTTACCAATTAAAAACCAATTAGTCTTATTCTGAAAACTGACACTGACAATTGTTTAATCAGAAATCAATGACACCATCCTGTGTAAAAATTGGTGGAGAGCCAAATGAGCCATTTAATTGCAAAATATATAAGAAATATAGTTAATTAATTTTTTTGCTCTTTTAATTTAATTTTAAATAAAACATTAAAAAAGAAGAAAATATGGGACGGTTAGACTATTAATTCTACTTATTTTAATAACTAACAATATATTTTTTTATCTTAATAATACAATTTATGGGAAATACAATTGATTTCTTCTTCGACAGGGAGTATTTTAAAGTAGTTGCTTAAAGGGATCTTTTTCAGGTTTCACTCCGTACCTTTTGCTATTAGTTTGCATTTGCACATCAACTGAAGAAATAAACATGCAGGCCATTTTACTTTAAGTTGAAAAATTTAAATACTAAAAACGTAATGGAAAAATTAATGTAACAAATGGGAAATTGTTTAACTTGTATTTCTATTTACATTTGTTTCACATCCAATAAAAGGTAATACCTCAAAACATTCAAAGTTTGTGTTAATTTCACGTTAGCTGCTATGCATTTGATATTAAATGCTATTAGGGTCTAATTTAGGTACGGTTAAATATGGAGCTATGTATTATGCATACTTTTAAATGCATCAAATAGTTTTCAGTGCATTTTAAAACGGCTTTAAATTACGATATCCTTCTTTCATTACCGAAAATTGTAAAGAATTACTTTATGGCAAAATGTATAATTATATTATAAGGAAGAAAAGCATTATAAACACTATGCATGCTTTGTAAAATTTTGTATATTGCAATGTATATTTTGAAGCTCAACTCTGCTTTTTCTATTACAGAAGATGGCGACGAAGTAACGTTAATGTACGCGAAACATGAGGTGAGTATCGTTAAGTGTACATATTTTATACCTAGTTCTTAGCTGCATACTGTATTTCCTGTAAATTAAAAATAATAATAAATCTAATGTATTTTGAATTTGCATACCATTCTTGAATAAATATTTGAATACATGTGTATTCCCTACGTTTAAAAAATGTACGGTTAGTCCCAACAGTAATAAGAATAATTAAAAAGTTACATTGAAAGTAGACGCATTGTTTTTTTTATCATCCAAAAAACAGTCGCCTTGTGATCAAATGCGGGGGTTATAGTTTTTCTGCCATTTTTCATAACAGTAAATGATGTCTTCACTTAAAAAGTTGTTCAAACCACTCATCATAGCTGTCGGAATTTTATAATTTGTCACAAAATGATATGCTTTGAGGTGGGCTTTGAGCTTGGTGATTCAAATAAATCGCATAGGACCAAGTGAGTGCTGTGCATTTGATACTTAGGTAATGCAGTATGACTTAGCTCATTGTCAAGGTGAAATAACCATGCATTTTCATCATCATCCGAACCGCATCCGAACGTAATGTTTGTCTTCGACGCTTTTTCTTCCGTCTCTGAGCGTCGTCTGAAGACTTATGCTTAATATAAAAGAGTACTCTCATAAGCTGTCTTCAAAAACTTCGAAACCAGATACTGAGTTTCACTAAAAACTTTATTAAGTAACTTGACTCGTCTATCTTTTTTATCCTCAGCAAACCACTGAAACTACTGTTCTTTTTTCTAATGTACATAATGTTGGGCTCACCAATGACCGAGTTGTAAAGCTGCTGAATGCTGGAATATCCGTCCGAGGTTCAAATCCCCGCCAACGGGCTGGCTGATTGGCACTTTTGTGTTTTTCTTATGTATAGCGTGTATTCGAACCATTTTCCCTTAGAAAGTCCTTCACGAAAGCATCCCTATCCTTAAACAGATAGTTCTCGAGTGCTTTGCCGTTATAAGGTATTTTTCCCTCCTTCCTAGCGTGCCTTTGTGGTGTAGTGGTTCTTCTCGCTGAGCAGGTATTTCAGAAGTCCGTGGTTCGATTCCCGGCGAAGGCGTTTGCTCATTTTTCATCTCATCGGCTTTTCCAATTAACCTAATGTCTCTACACCGTAATCAAGCAAATCTACTGTTGCTGGAATAGATTCTCGTTGAATCTGAAGGAAGTCACACTATACAGCCTGAATTTCCTATCACCTGCTTCAAGTTCACTTTCCGTTCCTGCTCTGCCCAGAAAAATTATTATATGTATAGTGAGAAAGGTTTAAGTCCTTTGCTAATATTATTTTCTCTCTCATGCATGACAAGGCATATTTCTTTGTTTGAGTTACTTAGCGTGATGCTTTTCTGAACAAAAAATGACATTCTAAATTTTAACATATCAAATAACTTATGCATATATAAATAAAACATATAAATTGTTTGTACATATACAAATTCTTTATACATATTACATAAGTAAATAAAAGTATACAACACTTATTCAAAGGTATGTCATAGGGAAAGGTAGCCTAATTTGGACCGTAGCCTTATTTGGTCCGCTATGATATACAAGGACTGATGATATCTGCAAGATTTGAGATAGGCATTTTGTTATACGTAGATGTAGAAGAGGTTAATGCAATTGTGTTTGTAAAGAAACGCCTCGTTGTTACATTGAGACAAATGTTATTCGTTTGGCTAAGAAGAAAATCTGTTATTTCGACATAAGTGTGAAAGCAGTTAATTCGTTTAAGCGTAAGTAATTACATGTCTCATTATACCATGACAAAACTTGCTTATTTATCTACAATTTGCAATTATAATTTTGCGAGGTTATGTTACTTTGACGTTTCTGTACAATATCAAGCGTTAAATATTCAAGTTTCCCAAGTTGGACCGAAAACAGTTGCCGAAATTGAACCGGTCCAATTTCGGCAACGACATTTTTTTCATGGATAAATTATAAATAACAATAGAATGCTACCCTTCGAAAAACTTATTGGAATGGTAACCATTCGTCTCCGAGACCAAGTGTGCGTAAGCGCGCTTAAAACTTATTTTAAAAGCTAATTTCAGAAATATTTCCGCAAGAAGGAAAGTTCTTATCTGTTGTAGCCAAAGTCTGTAGTAGCAAAAATCAGTTCACCGAAGTTTAACAAAATGCAGAAACATAAAAAAGAAACTGGTGATTCATGGTTTTGTATATTATGTTGTAAGGACTATGTTAATTTTATTAACAGTTAAATTTTAAGTTAAGGTTCCTTTCCGGTCAAATTCTTAACTTCAACTTACTGCTTCCGGCCAGAACGTAGTTTTGGAATCTTGCTGAATATTTAATGAGGAGGAGCGGTATTTAAACCACGAAGTTACTTACAGAGGTAGAGAGTTTCTGATTTACGCGCGTCTGCCATTTGGGCCACTCTCTCGCTCAAAGCTGTTATTACGCTCGGCCGTACTCAGGCCCTTGCTAAGCTTCATAGTCAAATACGTTAAGGGACAAATGTAGAGTTCCTCACTTTGAAATTCTAAGTTAATGTTGGAAGTGAAGAATCTTAAGTACTGATAAGCGAATAATCGTTAAAGTTCGGGTGACAAGAAACAACAAGATAGAAGGGTAACTAGCCCTTAATTATTTCAATAAGGTTTAACAAAACTCCGCCTGGGAGTGTACAAACAAAGCCCTCACTTAGGCTTGAACTTAAGGGACTAAGAATTAAACTAAAACTAAGATTAATTAAAGAAATATAGCCGAAGCTATCAAGATTCAAATCGAGTTGGAACCTTAACGTATTTGATTATGAAGCTTACCAAGGACCTGAGTACGGCCGAGCGTAATAACAGCTTTGAGAGAGAGAGAGTGGCCAAAAAGGCAGACGCGCGTAAATCAGAAACTCTGATTCTCTCTGCCTCTGTAAGTAACTTCGTGGTTTAAATAAATATTCAGCAAGATTCCAAAACTACGTTCTGACCAGAAGTAGTAAGTTGAAGTTAAGAATTTGACAGGAAAGGAACTTTAACTTAAAATTTAACTGTTAATAAAATTAACATAATCCTTACAATGTGAAGAAACCAAGGAAGAATAAATGATACAATGCATGAACACGTCACACTTGATACATACTCAATGTGCTGGAGTTAGTGCTGCAATTAAAAGGTTCTTTTGCTGTAATTGCCATTAAGAAAGCTCATGGTCCAATTTAGGAAACTAGCGGTCCAAATGAGGAAACCGATTTCCTAAATTGAACCGATGACACGACTTTTTTTAATTCATTTTTCTCCATTATAAATAATTTTTAAAATTTAATAAATGGTTCTATTTTGAAGGTACACTTAGTGAGTTTAATTTCTACTACTTAATTTTTATTGGCATTTCTTCCGTACTTCTATATAGTGAAAAATACAAAATTGGTCCAAATTAGGCTACTCACCCCTACAACTGATCACGTTATCAATATAATTATACATTTAACTTGTTTTTCCATCAAAGTTGAGTGCATTAATAGGTATAGTAGACAGCTATCTGAAATAGTGCATTAAGATATATCATATGAATTTGTGGACCTGTTGTTTTACTGTGCATTGGAGAACTATAATAATGTGTACTCGTGAAACGGTTACAGCTGCTTAAAACTTTTGAGAGAAAATCACTTTAACAAATAGAATCCAAGCAAGCTGGAACACTGTTGATTAATTTTTAATTTTGTTATATTGCACTATAGACTTTACAATGAAAACATTCTTCTGAAAAATTACCATAAATAGAGCTTACAGAATGCTGATCGAAATATTTTGGTATTCGCCAATAGTTTTAATAAGAAACAAGCATGAACAAAGAAAATGACACTAAACGAACTTCTTGCTGAACTTTGCTGAGATAAACACAATTTATATTAAACTCGGACCACAATTTAGAGTAAAACTTAAAACTTCTAGTGCTGGTAACGTAGGTTCACAATAAAATTCAGTTTCATGATGCATGATATCCTTTAGCAAGAACATAAGCATTCTGTCTTTACTGAAAATTTAAGACAAGTTGTGCTGTTACCATTTATGTTACGTGGCATTCTATAGAATAGCGTGGTTTCTGGATAATTTTAATTCAACATTATGTTGCCGTAAAACGTTTCAGATATACTGAGATCGATAACAAACATGAAGTTTTTCTGGCTATTCACAGTCCAACAACAAAATCCTATGATCCGAAAAATGTATTTGTTTTAAATTATCAACGCATCACACGTATTTTAGCGTAGGAAGTTTCCCGCCTTCATTTAAAAATGTAACAGAGACGAAGAAAGTACTTCAAGTCTCATGCATGAATAAGTCTTGTTATCAAGGGATCAGAAGATATGTTCTTTCCTACCTTTACCTTATTGTAATTTAATAGAATACAAAAAATGGATTTTCTTGCATACAGACATGTCTCGTGAAGCATGTAATCCATTATTAAGCCATATCACTCAGCAGATGCTACGAGTTAACGCGCTTAACATTCAATGCCACACCTACTGACACAAATTTGACGGTTATGTTCAAAAATGACCACATATATTGATCACGACATTAAATGATATGATATTTTGCTCTAACAAATTCTTGAATCTTACGGAATTGTTCTCGTTGCGTATTCATGCTATTCAGTTAACATTTAATTATTTTTTTTTTTTGATTCAGTTGGCTTTGACTTGCCCGAATTCTTCTGAATTACTGCCACTTTTAACCCTTTTAAAATATTATTGAAATTTTTCCCGATTAGAGAATAAAGCAAGTTTTCAAACATGCTACATTTCGTATATCGCGGTTTTGTGCAATTAAACATTACTTAATAAGAGAAATGTCCTCTGATTAGAAATTGACTAAGTTGCTTGTAACTGGAAACACAAATGCAATACTTATATATAAGAAACATATAGCTTCCATTTTTTATGTTCTTTATCTTATTGAAAGTAGAGTCGTTATGTTTAATTAAATATTTTAGAAATAAAAGATATAATTGCCAATTATTGTACTCCAAAAAATCTG